CTGGGGATGAAAACGAATGAAATGAATTGTACTGACGAAAATCAAATTTATCTATACTTTTCAGGTATGTCTCCTGTAAACTAAAGGCTGATGGTTTAAAATCTTGTGATAATAATTGTAGATCATTAAAATTGGTCTTAAGGCCTCTGCAATTCCATTGTATTAGACTAGGATTCCGTCTCATGGTGGTTCTATTGGTGATCTCTCAAGAGAACGTGGGGAAGAACTCCTATGTTTGTTTTCTGAAGGTGGAGTTACCTCCATCTCCAGGGGCTCAAAGGAGTTGTAAACCTCTATCGTTACAGGCGTCTCTACAGTAGAGGGAGTTTTTGATGTTTGTTTCCGATTGAAGCGTTTCCGCTGAGCTTTCGACATTTCAACATTTTCCTCAACATTAACAGTTGTCTGAGCAATCGTTTGCTCTGATTGGCTGACAGTCTGAGAGGCTGATGTCACAGTGGTCTGGCTATTAGAAGTAGTTTGCATAGAGATAGGTTGTTTGGATTTAGTCCAAGTCAAATCGGTTTGGCATGAAACCGACACTGATGTGTTTTTTCTGGAGACACCAGCTGAATAACTAACTATCGAAGATGGCTTTGACAGCATTTGATGCACTTGTTTTTTAGCCTCAAAAAAGGAAATATTACTTTCATATTTCAACTTCAGGATTTTCGATTGGATCTGCCATTCAGGGCAGGATTTTGAAGATGAAACATGATCACTGCCGCAGTTTACACATTTAGGATCTTTGCTGCAGTCAGCATAGGATCCTCGCTGCAACGATGACAACGATGAATATTTCGGCAGGATTTGGAGCCATGCCCAAACTTCTGACATGCATAACATCGGAGTGGAGTGGGGATATACACCTCCACTCCGATATTGAAATAACCAGCTTTTATTGATTTCGGGACTGTGCTCAATGAAAAGGTAAACAGATAAGTGTTGCTTGGAACAGTTCTACCATCTTGTTTCTTGACTGTGAAGCGCTTTACAGACGTGACATTCTGATCTTTAAGTTCGTCAACGATTTCCTCCACTGACATGTCCGACAAACAACGGACTCTGTCCCGAACAATGCCTCTACTCGAATTGAGTGTTTTATGTTCTGTGACCGTAACGTTGACATGTGCAAATTGTTGTTGTTGTAACAGATTAATTGATTGTTGTTTCCTTGCACATTCTACAAAGAGCTGACCACCTCGGAGACACGAGACGTTTTTGACTTCTCCACATATATACTGAGTCAAAAAAGAAACTTCACATTCTTTCTTCAGGGCACTATAAAAGAACAAGAGATGGTAAGATGGTTAAATTGTTATTATTTCATTGCTGAGATCTGTGTGATGTACTCGATACACTGACAGTGCCATAATCAGTTCCATTAGGCTACACCGCCGTTCCGAAACATGGGTATACAGAATATCAAGTCACAAGAATAAAAATGCGAAATTTCTCAGTTCAATATCGTGTATGGCCGCCCCGCGCATTCACCACTGCCAAACACCGTCTCCTCATCGACTGCCTGATGCTTGTGAACACGTGGTTGGGATTCTGCGCCATTGCTCTTGCAAGGCAGCGCCAAGTTCCTGCAAATTCTGAGGTCGGTTCCTAAGACCGTGAAGCCTTCTCCCAAGTGCATCCCAAACGTGCTCTATTGGATTAAGGTCAGGGGACCTCGATGGCCAGTCCATGACGTTGATTCCAGCGTTTTGAAGGAAATTTCGTGTCAACATCGCGGTATGCGGCCGAGCATTATCATGCTGGAACTGTAGACCAGGGCCATGAGCCGCCATGAAAGGAACGAGTTCAGGGGTGAGCACCTGGTCGCGGTAAGCAGGAGCTGTGAGGTTTCCACGGATGACCAGAAGTCGGGAACGGTTGTTCCCACAGAAAGCACCCCACACCATGCAACTTCCGCCCCCGAATCTGTCGACTTCCTGTACACAACATTGGGCATACCGTTCACGACGTCGTCTCCAGACTCTATGCCTGCCGTCCGCGAATCTGAGGGTAAACCTGGATTCATCGCTAAAGACGACTCGATTCCAGTCTCTGGGTCCATCGGAGGTGACGTTGGGCCCACAGCAGACGTTGACGTTGATGAAACGGCGTCAATATTGGCCCACGATATGGACGTCGATAATGGAGATTGGCAGCCCGCAACCGATTTTGAATGGTCTGTGAGGACAGTCGACCTCTAAACATCTCAGCCCTGGTTCGTGTAGCCGGCAGAAATCTGTCACGTAGGTGACGTAGGACGATTTGACGGTCTTCTGCTCATGACGTCACACGTGGACGACCCGACCTTGGGCGATCAGAAGTGGTGCCAGTTTGTTGTAGACGACCTCACAAGTCATACACAGTACGACGGCTGCATCCCATTGCTCTTGCGACGTCAATAACTGATCTTCACGCTTGCAACATACCAACGGCACGTTCACGTTGCACATTTGACAATCGTGGCATTTCAAGTACCGTTAGAACTGTGGTTTAAAAGTGTTTTTTTCAATTCTTGAGGCCAATGCAAACACGTGCATATGAAGAAAACTTCGATGCGAAGACCACGTGATCGACTGCACGTGCAAAACCTGATTTGGCACTAACGTCATTTGCACGACGAATGGATGGGTTTGAGTGGGTTTTGCTAACGTTTTTCTAGAGTCGAAAGATAGGGATCCCATTTCGGATACATAGATGTATCATCATAAAAAAATTATTCATTATTTTTCAAATTACATTTTGTGAAGTTTCTTTTTTGACTCAGTATAGATTGGATAGTCTTGGAAATCAGAAAAGGATTTAATTTGAGGGGTTCACCATTTGTAGCCTCAACGACTATAAATTTTGACCAGTTGTCCTGTTGTTTTGGAACTGAAATATCTTCAGCCTCCAGACGCCTTTTCTTGTAATTTCTAGCGGAACCAGAATGTATTTGACTCATGATGTATCGAAGATGTTCAGCACCCTTGCTCCCCACCCGCCACCGAGTGTCAACAAGGACAGTGTCTATCTGCAACGGATATCCAGCATGCAAACACCAGGGATACAAGGGTGATATACTCCAGTAAATAACTATATTTGTCTACCAAATATAATGTCAGGCTGGTTCGGCTCTAACATAAACTTGGAGACATACAGAATTTAGAGGTCGACATCACCAGATTGGCCCATGAGCCACCACCTTCTGGCATAGGACTCTAGGCAATTTAATATTGTATTTGTATATGCCAAATCGAAAATGACAAATACCCAATAATTTAAATGTGCAGAAAATACTTTCTATGCACAGGGCATGGCGTGACCAGCCGATTGATAGAATCGGGCCGATTCTACCACCCGTCTAGGTGAAGTAAGGGCCGAAGTGGTGTGCTGGGCAATAGGAACACGGTTCCAGGCTCCTACTGCCCTCAACCACCAGGCTACCGTCCTCCACCGACACAGGGGCGCAACCCACGGCAAACGGGTTGGTGGACCAAATATACCCCCGGGTCCACACGGGGGTTGAAGAGCTCTTAGCGTTACCCAGCACCCACCACGAGGAGGTGGCTCTTCACTGGTGCCCGTTCAAATTTGAAATATATGTTAATCATAACATATAAAAACAATATATGACTGCAAAGGTCTAGATTTTTATTTTCAAACATCATTGTCCAAACAGGGATTCGAACCCCTGTGGTTTCTTCAAGGAAACGGGAGTGCTGCTGTGCGGTTAGGCAAAAAATGCTTCCATTTTAAGCTAATTGTATGAATGGTGGGTGCTATATTCTTACCGTTTCTGCGAACACCTGGTGTCATCACTGATTTTCAGTGATCCATTCATATAATTTTCACCTGGTTTTCCATTACACCAAATGGACTTTGTTTCTTGGGAAAGTCAAAACTGGCTACTCTCTTGCACTGACTTTAAAGTTTACACAATGTAGCCGTGCTTACACCGTGACGGGCGAAAACAAAAAAATGAGCCATGGTATTTGTCTGCCCACCAACACCTGACAATACTCCTGTGACAAATACGTTCAGTTTCGTATGTTATATTTGGGAATTACTAATCCCAAATATAACATACGTTACATTTCACCACTTTCTAACTTGGCATTGTGTATTTCATAATTCAGTTTCTCACTCACATAACCACTATCACTGTTTTCCCTCTGTCTGTTGAAATGTTTCAGCAGGTAAACGACTGACGCTTAGCGATGATCAACATCATGAGCATCGATCTACGCATGCGCAATTGTATTACGATGACATGTGCCAACCAAGCCAGCGAACCTGACCACCCGATCCCGTTAGTCGCCTCTAAGGACAAGCATGGGTTACTGAAGACCAATTTTATTCCGGATCTTCACGGATCGATAATTATTTTAGATTTACATACAAGTGTATCACCCTGACTATCATTCAAACACTTGTTATTCTTCACAGGTATTCCAAAGACAGTTGATACTCGCTTAATTATTAACACACGCGGTCTTATATTCAAGGGTCTTGATAATATTACCGGAGGGCTTCTGTGTACATGTTATACTCGTCATAATATTACAAGACTGACTGACTGAGTTTGGTTTTACGCCGCTTTTAGCAATATTCCAGCAACATCACGGCGGGGGACACCAGAAATGGGCTTCACACATTGTACCCATGTGGGGATTCGAACCCGGGTCTTCGGCGTGACGAGCCAACGCTTTAACCACTAGACTACCCCACCGCCCCCATAATATTAAGAGGGACACTGAATAAGGATTGTATCGAACCTGGATTTTCATCGCTGCGAGTCAACACTTCAACTAGTAGGCTAACTCACCGTAATACTAATTCAGTGAGTGAGTTTAGTTTTACGCCGCGTTTAGCAGTATTCCAGCAATATCACAGCGGGGAACCCCAGAAATGGGCTTCACGTTGTAGCTATGAAGGGAATCGAACCCGGGTGTTTGGTGTGATGAACGAACGCTTGAAGCACTAGGCTACCCCACCGCCCCCGTAAGTGCCAGACCTACCTGACAGTGTCTCGTGCACTCATTAGCCTCCGAGGCAACGGTGTGGAGGCAGGTGAGTACTTGCTGCATAGCCGCAGGATCTGGAGTCGTCATGTTGGCGCAGATGTCGGCGATGTGGTCTCGGACCTGTAACATGTTACACAGTTACGTCAGTTTCAAGATACGATGTTACATCTATAGTAAAATCTCGCTAATGCAAAGTACCTAGTCATATTTCTCTTATCGATTAAGTGGTAAATATGGATAAGAACTTACGTCGGTAAAAGTGACGTTAGTGAGTGAGTGAGTGAGTTTAGTTTTACGCCGTTTTTAGCAATATTCCAGCAATATCACGGCGTTGCACACCAGAAATGGGCTTCACATATTGTGCCCATGTGGGGAATCGAACCCGGGGCTTCGGCATGACGAGCGAACGCTTTAACCACTATTGTACCCCACCGCCCTTAAGAGACGTTAGTGTTAAATGAGTAGTGCCACTGTGTTAAGAGTTTAAATAGTATCATTACAATTGGCGAAAATAATAGTGATGATTATAAAAAATTTGGATATTTTTTTTAGATCAGATTCGTTTTTTAGTCAACAATAGGTCTTGCATAGGCCACCATCATCATCTATAGTTGTCTTATTTCATACGTACGCCATTGGACACCTATTAAAAGATACTAGACGCAACATAAATTTGTCTTGTATTATTAATTATTGCGGAATAAAACAAATAAATAAATAAACAAAGAGTTTTCGGATGTTCATGGCACGGGGTGTTTTGTTTGTTTGGTGTTTTACGCCGCACTCAGCAATATTCCAGCTACATGGTGGCGGTCAGCAAACGATCGGGTCTGGACCAGACAATCCAGTGATCAACAGCATAAGCATCGGTCGACGCAATTGGGATACGATGACGTGTGTCAACCAAGTCAGCGAGACTGGCCACCCGATCCCGTTAGATGCCTCTTACTCATGGCGCAGTGAGACTGGTTAGACTCATTATCAGCGCTGGGTCAAACACAATGCCAAGACACAGTACCCTCACCCTCATGGTACTCTCTGGAAGCAACCCTTGAAGACCCGGGTTAGAATATATCTTCAGTAACCAATGCTTGCCGTAAGAGGCGACTAACGGGATTGGGTGGTCACGCTTTGATGGCTTGGTTGACACATGTCATCGGTTCCCAATTGCGCAGATCGATGTTCATGCTGTCGATCACTGGATTGTCTGGTCTATTTATAGACTGCCGCCATATAGCTGGAATATTGCTGAGTGCGGCGTAAAACTAACCTCACTCACTCACTCTGGAAGCACTGCCTAGGCCCACCGACTGATAACATATTTCTTCTTCTCACGCGATCGTAATTTTAAAAAAAACATACACAAGGAATCGTAATTCGAACGAATTTTAGAACTCCGAACTCGACCAGCGAATCCTAGTACGAGAAAGGGACGCAACTCTTTTCCTCAAATGTGTGCCAGAACATATATAGATATTATCTCCGACGTCGGGAACAACACTTACTGCAGCGTTGTTGTCTCTCTGGATATTGTATCGCTCAAGAAGGGCTGCTTGATCCGCCAAGTTGGCCTAGAACATATTAAACATAAGACGCAACTTATTCATGATATGAAACCAGAAACCAGACTTTATTCATTATACTTAAACACATATTTTTCTAATATATAATTTGTGATATCAACTGCTGAAACAACTTACCTGTGCTTGTGCATCGTTCATCCCGTTGGCAACGGTGTTGTCGCCGGGGGCTAAGAATGAAGTGTATTCGTTGTTGGGGCCGATTCCGGGTACTTGTTGGTATTCTGTGTAAAACCATGAAATACACCTTACCGCTTACTAAATCACAATCCGTACACCGTTGAAGTCAGAAATATAATGTAAACAGAAACTGACTTTGAATTATTATTATTATAGGATATTTATATAGCGCACATATCCAGGCAACTAGTGCATGCTCAAGGCGCTGAATGTGGCGATACTCTTTATATGACAAACAACTACAACGTATGAATATTACAAATACGTCTGACACAATCGTTGAAATATGCGTAGTTTTTAAATTCTACATTAAATTATATATTTTGTGTCACAATAAAACTATAAATCTGTCAGTACAAGAATCGTATTGCTGGCTCATTGTCAGCATATATGATGACCGCCGCCATATTGCTGAAATATTGCTGAGTGCAGCGTTAACCAACAAAGTATTAAACCAACCAAGCATACAAGATTATTATTATTATTGGTTTATCTGTTAGTGACGAGTTAGTAGAGCGGATTGCAGCCATGACATTCAGGTCATGCAAGGGGTCGTGTTAAGTTGTGTCAGATGTGTAATTTGTGTTAAGATGATTATATACATACTGACATGGGCGAATTATAAACCAACACCGATATATGCATGCACACACACACCTACTAGCACCAGGTACTTCAAAGTGTTAAAATTTCCCTTAATGTCGATCAATGTTAATACCTCAGGAAGTCACTATTCCACGATATCGATTAATTAGGAGGACAAAAATACTGCACACTATCTTATGCTTAAAATTGTTTTCAGATTTTAAAAAATCCGCATTCATACAACTATCGCTCAGAAGGTCTTTGATCAAGGTTCATGATAAATGACGTGAATTTTTAATGATCGACATAGTTTCCAAATAAAAAACAAACAACTCATAAAATCATTAAAAATATTGATGAAACGTCTTACATAAAGGTTCTACCCTATGATGTTTTCACACATTTTACAGTCTGTGATAAATGTACGTGGTATAAATGGTGTATTCCCATACTGCCTACAGTTCCAAACTGCCTACAGATTAAAACAACATGATACGGTCCAGTGATCAGGAAGTGAATACACCAATCTGACCGGTTCTACCCCTGCTAAAATGAACTTGACTAGTTAGCTTGTTAATTCTATGGTGTCTTCCCACTCTGCCTACAGAAGTTTAAAAAAAATGACAAGTGTTGGTTGGTAGGACATCTTTATTCATTCTGAGAATTCTCAGACTTTACATGGAGACATGGATTTATCATGAGTTGGCAGTGTGGGATGTAGGCAGTTTGGAACTGTAGGCAGTATGGGACCTAACCGGTATAATAAGACTATGTTTCACCATTAACCTTCATAAATTATTAACAAGTAATGAAAATTGTTAGTGTATAGTGAACATATGAAATCAACATGCATATTAGTATAGGATAATTGTGATAAATGAACATATACGAACATAACGAGCATAGACATACACTGTATACATATTATACAAGTCAAATACCAGTACAATGTTTATTACAAGAAAACGGCCATCCTATTGAAAATACGAAATATATAAATATCAAGTGTAAATATGATTTTATCTTCATGTTTTGAATTTAAGTTCTGAATTTGAAATAGACTCTTTTTCCATGAAAAGAGATATTAATAACATATTTTAAAATATCAGTATTTAAGCTCGTTAAGGTATCCAAATGACCGTTCTTGTAAATTGTATAATTGATGGATTATGCATACTTTCCGTTAACCATTCGATGTTGTTCTACACACATATATAGATAACGAATAATACATATATATTAAGTTTTCCTCATCGAAAGGTTCGTTAATGGAACGAGTAGCCGCATTCGGAACCACTCGCTTGTGGTTGGACGGACCCGAGTAAACCAGGGGGCCAGAGTCGAGTCCCGGTGTTACACCAGTGGCTCCGAATGGGACACATCAACAATACCCTACGTGTTCTGTGATGGTTCCACATCATCAACACCAAACACTTAGCTGGGATTTCCTTTGGGAAGATGTCGTTGATCAACAGAAACTGACATTCATCACATTAAAGTTCATGCCTCCTGTGGTTTTAAAATTACAAAACTAATACTCTCTTTCTTCACAGATGATTTGGTGGATTTTAATTGAACTTCTTAAAAGACGCCCTTTTCAGCAGATTGATAATTTTTATGATATCATTCTGTAAAGACCTGAGACAGCAATATATATGTGAAGCGTTACCCTGAGGACATTCTTGACAACATTTCGAGTTTACCCTTACGCCCTGTATTCAAGTTGAAAAGGACCCCCAGAACGTGTCTGTTACATGTTTCCTGGTTGACACTAATCTGGGGCACCAACCATTGACCATATTTCATGATCTGCGTCTTGATATGCAAACCTTTCTGTATTTATGGCACAAACGTAAACTTGCTGAACTTCATTACGTAAAAACAAAATATTTGTCTTCTTTGATGACACTTAATTGTGATTCAAAAGCACGTTTTTACTGAAGATCTGCACATTCTCGTTTTTCAAAGAAAAAGGTGCATGCTCAAAGGGCTAACATTATTACCCCGGTCAATGGGTCACTACAACCCAAGCTGCCTATGAGGCGCTAGAAGGTAAAAAGTCTTATCACCTTCTCATCCCACCGGGTACCCATTCACTGCTAAGTGAACAGAAGCAATTTTGATGTAACAGAATATCGACATATTTAGCTTTTATTCCATGAAAAATGAATCAAACATATCTTTTATCTCCTACACACCGTCTTTCCTCTCTGAAATTTGAAAAAAACTCCATCGTAGATGAAAACAACCCGAACGCCCGTTTAGCACCCATCGTGATGGAAGGCATCTGATCATGACGAGTGTAAGAGTGACCGAGTCAGTTGAGTTTTATGTCGTTTTAAGCAATATTCCAGCTATGTTAGGGCTGAGGACACCAGAAATGGGCTGTCCAGACAGTACCAATGGTCAGGAATCGAACCCGGGTCTCAGGCGTGATGAGCGAACGCTTTAACCGCGTGGCTTGCCCAGAACCCAGACCGGTGTAAGAACATCGAAGAGGTGTGTAGTTCTAATTACCCTAGAAGAAAACTGATAATAATGGACAATAAACTCCATCGTACGAACACCAAGCAAAGCAGCGGCATGCATACCTATCTCGCTCCTCTTACTCTCGGTGTTCAATAGTGTCGCAATCTGGGTCATCTTCTCCGTTACCGCTTTCTGCTCGCCGCTTGCCGCCAGCTTGTCAATGGCCGTCTGAGAGAACATCTTCTCGTTTGAAGTCCATGCCCGTATCTGTTCTGTACTGCCTGGCGTGACCTACCAAACAATTCGTTGACATTAAGAGTGAGTGAGTTTAGTTTCACGTCGCTTGTAGCACTATTCTAGCAACATCACGGCAGAGGGCACCAGAAATTGACTCACACCATTGTGTAGCCATGTGGGGATTCAAACCCGGGTCTTCGGCGTGACGAGTGAACGTTTTAACCGCTAGGCCACGTTCAGAACCATATCACAATGACTGTGTCGTTGGCGTCGTTTAGACCGTGAATATTTATCATCTACAGCCCATGCTTGTCGCAAGCCTAACGGGTGGTCAGGCTCGCTGATTTGGTTGACACATATCATCGTATCACAGTTGCGTAGATCAACGCGCATGCTGTTGATCACTGGATTGTCTGGTCTAGACTCGATTATTTACATACCGCCGTCACACAGCTTAAATATTGCTGAGTGCGGCGTTAAACAAATAAACAAACAAACAAACAAACTAGATCTGAACGAGATTAAGATCTGTAGAAGCTTTGTAAAACTGATCTAAATAATCGAGTTATCCAAAAGATTGGGTATTTGGGTATTCGAACCAAGCACGTAAATGTGTGTAATCTCGACGCTAACCCCTATTTGACCTTTAGCTCCTATATACGTGTGATCATCCTGTTTTAGTCCTAATTTTCCCAAAGGGTTTAAAGAAATATTTTAATTACATACAAATCGATCCTTAATTATTTCAGGATGGAGTCAATAATTCCAGGAATCCTTTTCTGAAAATCACTCTGAGGTAGGTTTGTTTGATGTTTAACGCCGCTCTCAGCAAAATTCAAGCTCTATGGCGGCGGTCTGTAAATAATTGAGTCGGGACCAGACAACCCAGTGACCAACATCATGAGCATCGAACTACGCAGCTGGGATACCATGACATGTGTCAAGCAAGTCAGTGAGCCCGACCTCCCGATCACGTTAGCTGCCTCTTACGACAAGCATGGGTTACTGAATACCAACTCTTCACGGGTCTCTGAGGTAAGAATGTCGTTCATGTTTAACTAACCGTCACGGTGTCGATGAAATAGCTGTAGGCGGAGCCTAGGGAGTCGATTACGTCCACCCACACCGCTTCCTTAAAGTCATCGTAATCCGCACCAAGTGGCGGGTCGATTGTGATGTCATCAGCCTCTCTGAAAGTCGTTATCTGCTGGGGGAGTTCGTTATTCTTGTGTTTACCTGGAGGAAAAATCGGCAAGAAAAAGGTTGACATCAAGCGTACATTTCAGCTGCTGTTAAATCCCCAAGCGAGGCTTAGATTGATGTTGTTATTCTATTTTAGGATTACTGAGCGTAAGGGAAGGGGTGGGTGGGTGGGTTGTGTTTCAGAAAAATCTGTTTACCCTGTCTGTATCCAAAACTGTGTATTTACAAAAGACCATCAAACAATGTATTCATACCAATTATGACATGTGGGTCTGTCCATTACACGAACTATTCGTTTTCTACACCACAGCTCCGGTTCCAAGACTATTAATTAGAGAAACATTATCGAACGAAGTATTGATTCAAATCCCTCCCTCACCCCCACCCTCCAATAGAAGCAAAATGAATGCTCTCTTATGTGATTGTAGGTAAGATGATTCGTCACAAATGTGCAAAATTTGACTTGGATCTTACAAAAATTAAATTCAGAAAAATTATTTATGCTGCACTAAATTAACATGTACGTCTATGGAAATTACATCAAGTATCCGAATACTTTTTGCACCACTCTGTAGGTTTAAATCAAGCTGCAAACGTTTTTAAGAGAAATGTGTAAAGTTTCTTTACTGTAGAATGTAAACCCAGCAATTCCGTCGCCATCATGCCACCCCGAGCACTTAACGTTGAATGCCCCAGTTCCTTCCCATGTGAGGGTGCTGCTCTGGGGGGAGATGACGCATGTTCCCGGCTGAGGGGGACGATTCAGGTTGATGTTGAGGGCAGCTTGGCCTTCGTCACCCCCGGGTTGGGCACACTTGACCGAAAACCGGTATCGGGTGACATTGGCATGGATGTCGTATAACGTTGGATTGATGCCGATTGTTTGCGACTTCATCCCTGAAACGCAAGCAGCTTCATATATATAAATAGACACACACATGTATGTATGTATGTATGTATGTATGTATGTATGTATGTATGTATGTATGTATGTATGTATGTATGTATGTATGTATGTATGTATGTATGTATGTATGTATGTATGTATGTATGTATGTATGTATGTATGTATGCATGCATGCATGCATGCATGCATGCATGCATGTGTGTGTATGTATGTATGAATATTTGTGTTTATGTAGGTACGTATGTATGTGTGTATGCATGCGTGTACGTATGCATGCATGCATGCTTTGGGAGCCTCGTAATGTCTGAAAGCTAATTTTTGTGCTGTGTATGCATGCATACGTGTGTGTATGTACATGTATGCATGCATGTATGTATGTGTGCGTGTATGTATGCACGTATGAGTCTCGTAATGTCTGAACGCTATTTTTTGTGCTAATGTGTATCATAGTTAACTTACATCTTACCACAAACCACACGAATTAACCCGTTTAGATAGTCGGCAATATAATACTCAAGTTTTGCTAACGTTCAAGCCTTTGAATATGACCATGTTAGTCCTAAATAAGCAACGTGTGGTATTGTATTCTGGTTAGGCTGACTATAACTGATTGCTAAGCAACACAAAGTCTTTGGTAAACTCTGGCCACTGGAGTGGCTTGTGTTTCGTCACCTTTGAAATGGTAACCAAACAAGCATAATCATTGGCTAAAGGGATATTATCCCTCGTAAATGTGAAGAGAATACATTAAATTGGATAGTGGATAAAATGACTTCTTAATACATGGACAATAAAATGTTACTAAAAAGGGAGCAGCACATATATAATATAGTTTATGCCTCCTGTGTTACCGCCGTATGTACACGTCTTTTACGACATAGGCACACACACATGCACGCACGCACGCACACACATGTGTACATGAAAGTTACTCAGTGTTTAAGTGAATGTGCTTAAGGAAGAAACTCATGCAGTGACTGCAATAGTGCATGTCCGTGTTTCAAGGTGAAAGTGCATGTCATGCTGTGAAGTATCAGTGCATATCAGCTTTGTTGCGATATTGTGGATATCCGCATTGATTAGGTATTGTGGATATCCGCATTGATAGGGTATTGTGAATATCCGCATTTGATAAGGTATTGTGAATATCCGCATTGATAAGGTATTGTGCATATCCGCGTTGTTACGGTATCGTAAATATCCGCATTGTTATGGTATTGTGCATATCCGCGTTGTTTCGGTATTGTAAATATCCGCGTTGTTACGGTATTGTGCATATCAACATTGTCACGGTATTGTCCTTATCCACATTGTTACGTTATTATGTATGTACCCTTTGATAAGGTATTGTGTCTATCCGCGTTGTTACGGTATTGTGCATATCTGCGTTGTTACGGTAATGTGCATATCCGCGTTGTTACGATATTGTTCATAAAAGCGTTGTTACGGGATAGTGCGTTTCTCCTTTGTTACAGATAAGTATATATCCATGTTGATGTTTCAGAATACCGCGATTTATACTGGACAAGACAACTTAAATGGTTTTACCGTGCATGCAAGCATTGTTCTCGGAGAGTGGATGTCCGAATTAGTTCCGGACGGAACATGTCAGCGTTGATAGTGATAGCGATAATGCATCTCTCCGCTCTCTACTCCCCTCCCCTCCCCTTCCCTCCACCGGAGATGTCCGTTTTTAACTGGATGGCACTTGCTAGCCACCTCTTTTAAGGGATAGCGGTTGTCCATGTTGTTTCGGTTGTGTGTTTTTCCGCGTTGTTTTCGTTGCATGTTCGCGATGTTACAGCATGTTTCATGTACACGTTGTTTAAGGGTAGTATACGCATAAATAAAGATCGCATTTGTCCAAATATATTGTCACATGATGACAATGACAAATGACAATGACAAATGACATATCTTTTATTCGTACGAAAGCCACTGCCCCATATACTGAGTGTATATATGATTGTGCATATTACAATGATACATAACTTGGGCATAATATACACTACGTTAACGTTGTTCCAGTGTTAATAACAACGTGTCTCATTTCATAAACTTTGAGATATACATTTGAGAGAAGATGTTGCTCGTTAGTGCTCGCGATCGATTTCACCCTCCTCCATTTCACTGATGTTGGGGCAGTGTTCAAGTGAGCGTTTGAGTGAGTGAGTGAGCGTCACATGCGAAATTGAAAGCATATCTTCAGTATAGTGGATAGAAGAATGTCCTAATAGCATGTTAAGAAATATCGAGGTTGTGGACTTAGATATATCCCGTACGTTTTATAAAAAAAGTGTTATGCAATGCAAGTTAGAGTAGCCTCAGAAGACTGACATCAGCACAATACGGTTATAACGAGTGAGTGAGTTTAGTTTTACGCCGCACTCAGCAATATTCCAGCTCTATGGCGGCGGTCTGTAAATAAAGTCTGGACCAGACAATCCAGTGATCAACAGCATGAACGGTTATAACGAACTCAAAGGAACCACTTATTTCAGTTAGCTATAAGCAAACTTCGTTATACGCATTTCAACCAAAATATACAGGGACAAAACATCAGTTCGATATGTCCGTTATTTCGTCATAACCGTCTTCGTTATAAACATAGTTTAATGTATTGTCCTATCGGAATGATTCCTGGTCATATCAGATATTTTAAAACTGATTTTCGAAATCTCAACTAAAGAACGATTTCCGTCAAGCATATGAAGCAGTTACCTAAATGTATACATGTTTCTCTTCAGAGATTATGATTATTATTATCATATCAAAATATACTACACACACTTTGCTAAGGATTTAAAAAATTCACAACTTTACTTAAACGTAGATTCATAATTTGAAATTGTATCCATTTAAAACTGGATAAATAATAATGTGATAACCCCTCTTTAGTCAAACAGCTACTTTAATCTAACCTTATGCACTTGGTACATGAGTAACCAAAAAAATGTTTTTCATGGCACCAATCAACCACTTTGCAAATCATAGAACGAGTCATTGACAAAAAAAACAACACATGTCAAAAGCAGGTATGGGATCCACAAGATGCAATGACATACTGAAACCTAGGATCCATACTTACATTAAGCTTAGGTATTTAAACCAGATTTGACCCCATATAATATATAGTTTTCTGTTGAATCCATGATTTGATCCCCTAGCAAAGTGTGAATAGTATATACGAATACAGAGAGTTGGCCTGGCTTATCATCGCCACAGGGGTATTCTCCCTTTGCAGTCAGCCCAGACAGCGATTGGGAAGAAGCCCTTCCTAGAAGCATCCACCATGATAATTAAAATTAAAATTATGATAATGATGATGATGTTTATTATTATTATAGAGACCATACAGACAGGATTGGACAGACAGATTAATACAGGACACATTGAGACATAGACAGACAATCTGACATTATGGCACACAAATATTGTACTAGAAGAGATGTGTCGTGACACCACAGTGATGTCTTAACTATTCTATACAGTTAGCCCAGCGTCTATCAGGGCCGTGATTAAACAGTGAGATATGTGATACGAGGGTTGGTTGCTACGTTGGGAGCCTCACGTACAAAGAATCGCATAATACCGGATTAAAATACTATGGGGATTTCATGATGGCACAGAGTGAGTGAGTTTAGTTTCACGCCGTTTTAGCAATATTCCAGCAATATCACGGCGGGGGACACCTGGAATGGGCTTCACACATTGTACCCATGTCGTATCGCACCTGGGTCTTCGGCGTGAGGTGAGAACGCAATAAGCACAAGGCTACCCAGCGGGCCGATGACATGGAGATTCATCCACTTCCTTGGACGGCCGCGTCAGTAACGGAGAACATGATCCAGAGATCCCACGATACTGATGAAGGTCCGGTGAATGACGGAGCCTCATTGTAAAGAGGTGTGCTGATCATTAATCAGGAAAACGCGCCAGTGACAAAATAGGATAAGTCATTGCCGTATCTACGACCCACCTCGTGCAACCATCCATCGTATTCTTCTGATCCTGCTCCGTCAGTTTTCATCCACTGAGTGAGTGAGTAATGTTTTATGCCGCTTTTACCATTATTCAACTAATGCAACGGCGGGAGACACATATTCGAACCCGGGTCTTTAGAGTGACGAGTGGACACTCTTTAACCACTAGGCAACACCACCGCCCAGAGACGAAGTAAGCTCTCGGTGGTTCTGCAGAGAACCTGTAGGACCTCTGCCAAATAGGGTTTGTGGACAAAGGTTCATGGTGATGTTCGAAAATACACCAGATCAAGTCTTTGCACGTGGGGCTCGGAACATGAATCACCCCTCGCCTAACCAGATCTAAGGGTCGTGCACGTGGATATACAGATTCAATTTAACTGGAATATGGAATATCAATTAATACTTAATCTGTATTGTAAAACAATAAAAGCGAATTTTGAATGTTACAATTAAAGTTTTTTATGTTACACAAAGAGTGAGTAAATGAGTTTAGCTTTACGCCGCGCCCAGCAATATTCCAGCTATATGGCGGCGTTCTGTAGATTATCGAGTCTGGACCAGACAATCCACTGATCAACAGCATGAGCATCGATCTACGCAAATGGGATACGATGACATTTGTCAAGCGAGTCAGCAAGCCTGATCACCCGATCCCGTTAGTCGCCTCTTAGAACAAACATGGGTTACTGAAGATCAATTCTAACCCGGGTCGTCACGGGTGTGCTACACATGGATATAAATATATATCGTACCTAAGACGTAACACTGTATTTATTAAAACTGTGTATGCTGAGGGCAAAGCTAGTCTATATGTTGACAATGAACACTGAGTACTGTGTGACAGAGAGTTCTATTTTAGTCTTTCTGGTGGAAGGTTTGTGACGGTGCAGAGATAGAGAGTGTCCCGTGATATTTCATACCCTTACCATCAATTGCTAAACGGAAAAAAATAACCAGTATGTGTTAGTCAAATTGATACACAAATGAATCGCATCCAAATGGTGCTACTTAAAAGGTACATTAATCAAAATAACAACAGAGGCCTGCAATTTTAACACTGAAATTACGCGTTAGAGTATTCAGGCACTGTGTCATGAAGATATCATAATAATATGAACATTCCATCTGAAATTGAACTGCAATTACTAAAATCAACATTATGAAAAAAGTTCAGATGTATATGAATACCGCTTACAAGAGGCACGGACAGAGACAAGCAACTTAATTGTCAATACTGTTTATGACCTTAAGAAAACCTTAATCCACAATGGCTTTCAAAGTTAAATACGACGCGTTTCTCTCTATCAATAAATATTATTTTTAGGATTGAGAATTACAAAGAACCATTTTACTTATACAAACACCATAAAATATATAATATGTAAATAACTGTTCCTAAAATTTAGAAATAAATAGCTTCAGAGCGGTTTGTAACCCTTTAATGACGACAACATTTTACACAGGTAGATTCAGATAAAAGTTTCTTTAAGTATATTTAAATCCTTGCGATTCTTGTGTACTTGTAATTAAAACTGATGCTGACATATTACTGACAACGGATAAATACCCACCAGAAAGATGAGGCTCAACTTCGCTGTCGAAGTATGCTCGCCAGGGCCATCTGTAGTCGTAGGAGGCGGCTGTCCACTGGCAGCTGAGGGCGACGTTGGCGGGGCAGTCCTTGCACTTCACCTCCAACGCCAGACGTTCCTGCGACGACACCAACTTACCGTTCGCTTGCTGGGTCGTCATGCTACTGCCCGCCGGCCTGAGTCAGTGAGTGAGTGAGTTTAGTTTTACGCCGCTTTCAGCAATAATTAACCGAGCAATATCAGGGTACAGTACACCAAAAATGGGCTTCACACATTGTACCCTTTCGGGAAATCGAACCTGGATCTTCTACGTGACGAACGATTGCTTTATCCACTTGGTTACCCCACTAAAGTCGGAGACAATGTTTACCATCTAACGAGGTGAGGTGTGGTTAAATTGGGTTTTACGTCGTGCTTGAGGATATTTCGCTCATATGACAACGTGCATGCGTGTGTACGTGTATGTGCGGCTGCTTGTACTAGCCCAGACTGAAGCTGGTTTTATAGTGCTAGCTCACTGAGATACCATGCCGCAGTGAAGCATGAATACCCCACTCAGACACATTATACTGACTCCGAGCCGACCAGTCCTTGTTGTACCCATTAATGCCGAGCGCCAGGCAGGGACCAACAAGTACCATATTTTAACGTCTTTTGGTATGACACGGTCGGGATCGAACCCATGACCTACCGCTCTCCGGGCGGACGCTCTAACCACTACACCACGGAGGCGGTCCAACAATCTAATGAGGTCACATTTTGACGCCATTTGTCACTTGAATATATTTTGTATACATCCCGTATGGGGAAGTGCAGAGTTGCCTCCCTTAGAATTACGCACTAATGTATGATGCGAATTGAGCCTGGTTCGTAGGTTGGTTGCTTGGCTTGTTGTTTAACGCCGCGCTCAGCAATATTCCAACTATATGGCGGCGGTCTGTAAATAATCGAGTCTGGGCCATACAATCACCTGATCCGCTGCATCAGCATTGATCTACGCAATTGGGATACGATGACATGTGTCAACCAAGTCAGCGAGCCTGACCACCCGATCCCTTTAGCCGCCTCTTACGACAAGCATGGGTTACTGAAGATCAATTCTAACCTTGATCTTCACGGGTCGTGGGTATCACTGAACCTGCCAGAGGTAAGAATGGTTCAAAACGCAAATGGTACCGATAGAGGTTGAAAGAGTGTTAAAGGGACCCTAGTTACAATCCTCGAAGAATATTCATGGAATATATGAATCCCTTTCTTGATGAAATATTCCCAAACACAACTTTATGATTTCTTTCACCTGATTCTCTAACCGGCTCTTCCTTATGACTGTAGTGACATAACTAGAGTGACGAGAGTGTATGGTTTAACGCCGTTTTTAGCAATATTTAGCAATATCATGGCGGGGTACACCAGAAATTATCCTCGATAATCTCCAGGGTATACGTTAAGATAACTCTCCACTCAACCCCGTATTCATCTACGGCTCGGCCCGATGATTTTATTAGGCATCTTTGCTGGCTCTGCATTCTCACAGTAGCCAATCAAATAAGTCGCCGTTACAACCAAGCTTGTAAATATTAGCGGTCGCACCCGCCAAAGTTTATTCGCACACTTAGATATGGGGAAACATATCTACAAATTGACAGGTCTAAAAACCTTAAAAAATATATGCAAGAACTCCTTCTTTCAGAGTATCTGCAACAATATATTATTGTGTTGACAAGTTTAATCGGTTAGATAATTGAAAAAAAGCGAAAGTGAGTTGTGATGCATCCAGGGTATAGTGGAGAGTTATCGTAACGTGAACCCTGGAGATTATCGAGGATGACCAGAAATGGGCTTCACACGCCGTACCCATGTGGGGAATTGAACCCGGGTCTTCGGCATGACGAGCTAACGCTATAACCACTAGGCTACACCCCTCTCACCCCGCCACGATATAACTAGAACATTGCTGATTGCTAAGTTAACAATATGTAAATACATTTTTCTACAATTCATTAATAAACAACATAAGGGCGGTTCGTAATCTTAAAAACACAACGTCGCACGCTCAAAACATACACCCCGTGTTATGCAAAGCTGATTATGATTGATATAAAATAATATAATTACATGATGTATAAGTTGAGAGGATTGCCTGTGACAATGTTGACCACAATGGAGCCGACGGATGTCCTTGTGTCTTTCGATACGTTACAAGAGAGTTCCACCTGCTCTCCTACCACGAACACGTTGGTGTTGAAGGTGAGCACGCCTCCTGTTCGACCGTTGATCGTGTCGCAGGCAGTTGGCAAGGATAGGTTCTTCAGCAACTTACAGCTCCACGTGAATCCAGCGAAGGGCTGCACGAGAACGTTTTAAAAAACCTTTTAATCTTATAAACTTTTGTTTGATTTGGTCTTATCATAAACCTTCATTGTTAATAATTCTTCTTTGCTGGCAATTATATATATGCACATACAACTCTTCGTATTTATTTTAGTAGACGAATTTAGTTTAGAAGATATTGAAAATAAATTTGCTTAAACGTGTTTTCAATAAACACTATAACAATAATTTTGAAATCGTGAGTACTTTATAAATTAATATGATACCCTGAATGTAGTCACCTAATCTGCTGGCTAGATGTCCACAATGGTTGTTTTTTTTATGGACAGTATTGTTATCTCTAACATACATGCTTATGGGCTATTTGTCTTAACAGGCAACCGCCTACAACAACAACATAGAACACGAAGACATTTATATTTCACTCGTGAGTCGGGCTCTGCAATTCTTCGTGCAAAGATCCTTTGAGTGAGTTTAGTTTTACGACGCTTTCAGCAATATTCCAGCAATATCACGGCTTCACGCACTGTACCCATGTTGGGAATCGAACCCTGGTCGTCTGCGTGACGAGCTTTAACCACTAGGCTACCCCACTGTGTGCAAAAATGAATGATGGTGGATTCAAATCCCATCCTTCTTGATAATCTTTCTGTTTGTCTGAACCATATTCGATTGAGTGAGTGAGTTTAGTTTTACGCCGCCTTTAGCAATATTCCAGCAATATCACGGCGGGGGACACCAGAAATTGGCTTCACACACATTGTACCCATGTGGGGAATCGAACCCGGATTTTCGGCGTGACGAGCGAACGCTTTAATCACCGTCCAGCTCCATATTCGAGAGGCTGGATTTCCCGAAAGTCGAATTTTGACATTAACCCTTATTATGCTGATGTCGTGACGCAACAAACGTTTTTGTTTTTTAACGCCGCATTCAAAACTTTCCCAGCTATGTGGCGGCGGTCCGTATATAATCGATTTTGGACCAGGCAAACCAGTGATCAACAGAATGAGGATCGATCTACGCTACTGGGATTCGGTGACATATGTCAACCAAGTCAGCAAGCCTGACCGCCCGATCCCGTTAGCCGCCTCTAACGACAAGCATGGGTTACTGAACACCAATTTTAACCCAGCTCTTCACGGGTTACATAACGAAAGTAATGCTATTAGAAGTGTTGAACCAAATTCTCATGTCAATATGCTTACCTGCTGAACTGCAATGTCGGGGTCGAATGAATATATCTCAGGGCTGAAGGTCACAGCAAGATTCTCACCACGGTCAACCTCACTGATGCCCCCTATCTCTAGGACGACCACGAGGTCAGACTTGATCACCTCGAAGAATGTGTGAGCATAGGCAATGAAACTTGTTCCGTCAGATAGGTCCATCTTAATACTGTATGTGGCCTTGTATAATCCGTAGTCCAGCTGTTTCGACCGGATCACAAGTTCAGCTTTGTCCGACTCAAAACCAGCGGAGCCTAAAGATGTCCCATACTCTTCGTTAATCTTGTCAACTTCCCATCTTTTGGTATTTTGAAGCGTAGCAGCGCATGTGATGTTTGACTTGCCTCTGATGACAATGTCAGCGCTTTTCTTGAACTTGAGGGGCGTTTTAAAATTTGTGATGCCATCTTCAATGCTAACCTCTGGCTTGCTACAATCTTGGGCGCTAACCGAATGGTATAAATTGATATGCGTTGAAGAGAAGGTGTTGAAAATAGTGGCGTTGATCCTGTAGTTACCGACGGCGTCGTATTTGAAGCGTACAATCATTGGGTTCACCAAGGATCCTGCATTCCTTCCTCCGGCAAAGTCTGGATAGATGGAACAGTGGGCTGGGTCACCGTAGTTGTATGTAGTGCCTGACCCGTCGTCGAAGTCAACGTTCATGCAGCTGTCTTCACCCATCTCGTCGAACTGGAACTGGAAACTCTTCTCCTCGCCAGCTATGGCGTTGGGGTTTAGCTCGGTGACGATTATGTTGTTGACTGGTTGACGCATGATGATGGTTTTCGTCTCCGGGGTAGATGACCCAAGCGGGTTGATGACTTTCACCTCCACCGAGTACTGTCCAGCCTGAGATGGATATAGTTATTCAATTAATGCATGTCTACAGTGTGGATACAAACATATGTTCTTATTGTGAATGAATACCTGGGATCTTGAGATTTGTAATCAACTCGTGTGCATGCTTTGGTCCGTAAACCTAGAAAAACCGAATGGGCGAATGATGAATACAATTTATGCTGAGTGTAATAAAACCGCAACGGATTAGTTTGGTTACTGTTTATGCCACATATAAAAACCCGACCCTAAGATATTAATTTCTTTAACGCTAAAATTCTTTTTTACATTTACAAGTTTTGATTTTCTGTTGGAGAAATCAAGGTTTTTGGACATAAGATAAAAAAATGTAAAAGTAAAAGCAGCCCTCCCGACCCATTTTTTATGCGGCCTTACCATAAAGCCATAATCCTGATGTTTGAATCTATTCTTTTAAAGTTATTGTTTGTATCCGTGTGCGTGTCTGTGCGTGCGTGTGCGTGTGCGTGTGCGCGTGCACTAGTCTCCACGGGTCCAGGGAAGTAAATCAAACACTAATGGTATATCTTGTGCGTGTGCTTGTGCGTGTGTGTGCCCGCCGGTCTACGCGAAGAGAACTAAACACTAACGTTAGATACCGACAACAAACTAGAAAGATGGGGTAGCTGTTAATACCCGTGAGCTTAAATTTGGTAACCTGTAATTTATTGGGGTTGGGTCTGATCAGGGGAGGTAACTCACCTCATTCAGCATGCACGAGAACACACTGGTGGTTTTGTTGCACACGACCACCGGAGTGCCACTGGTGTGAACAGCCGTCATCACATAGTACACTGGGGTTCCTGGACACACCAATAGCATGAATCAGGTAAATACAATAATAGAACTTCATAGTTATAGGGCCTGTAAGTCTCGCGAGGCGCTACTCCCGATACTAAGCTGGTTCCCGGCTCCCTTTGCGTTCGCCAACATGCGATATGCGAGATGGGGCCCAGCTTACTTCCGGTACCAGATTTCCGGTGACAAGCGTATATTCAAGAACCAGCGACCGCCAAAAAAGACTTTACAAGACCGGACAAAGTCACAACCATGTTTGGCTGTCGCTAATTGTTGGGGATAGTTAGATCGAAAATTTGATATTCCTGGAAGGATTATCGGTTCCTTACTGTCAACTGAAATTTGAAAGGTATGAAACGTTGTTTGTCACCGGAAGTACTGAGGTCTCTCGAAGTGCCGTGACCTACGTACGGGCCCTATACTGTTGGTAATAGTAGCCATCCACCGCTCATTTAATACATTTCTTAAAGCCCGATATCGTTTCATTATTATGATGAACATGCACTTGCCAAGTTATATGACAGCCGTCTGTAATTACATATGTATAATCTCTTTCTTAAGCAACCGGCAGCCGTGCAACCGACAAACGTCTATAATGGTATTTTAGAAGGCGGGAAGAAAACCATTTTCAAATGTTCTGAACAACACCTGAAATATCCCCCATTGCACCCCTGTATGGGTAGAGTGAGTGATTGAATGTGGTTTTACGCCGCTTTTAAGCACTATTCCAGCAATATCACGGCGGGGGACACCAGAAATGGGCTTTACACATTGTACCCATGTGGGGAATTCAACCCGGGTCATCGGTGTAACGAGCGAACGCTTTAACCACTTGGCTTTCCAACCGCTCTTGTATGGGTAGAAGACAGTGTACCTACCTGCTCCTAGAGTTGTAGTGCAGGAGATAGGGGTTCCTGTGGGGAAATTCACATTACTCCCTTCCAGACCATTCAGCAAGGGGCCGTTGACAGGAATGTCAGGCTTGTACTGACACGTGTAGGCTGTGGTGGTCAGCGGGATGTAACTGCCCGCCTGGGAAGCACAAAGCTCAAGATCAATGGTTATATCTACAGTTTTCGACATTCTGTGTCTACTAAAGAAAACTCAAGTCGAAATTACTAGAACTCGCTCCCCTAGATGTAACGTTGAGATTATGTCAGAATCTGGATGAGAATGATACGCTGTTTCGGATACTTGCCCCGAACTATGTGTTATGTTACGCCGCTTTCAGCAACTATGTGAATGGTCTGTGAATATTCATCCTCGATAATCTCCAAGGTATACGTTACGATATATCTCCACTATCACCCTGGATTGTATTACCTCCCTTTGCTGGCTCCGCCTTCTCACAGTAGCCGATCACATAAGCTTTTAAAACCGAGTTTGCCGTTGTCAACAAAGATAGCGGCCGCAGCCGTGAAGGTTTGCTCGCCGTGCGATTCAGATTTAGGGAAAAATTCATACAGACAAATTGACACGTATGAAACCTTAAAAAGTATATGCAACAACTCCTTCTACCTCTTGACATTACTGTTTACCGAAGAAGTGGAAGTGAGTTATGATAGAAGCCTTGTGATTGGTACGTTCAACTTTCCAGCGTAGACGCCTGATTGGATATAAAGCCAGCAAAGGGAGGTAATACATGGATGCAACGTGGATGCATCCAGGGTACAAGTGGAGATTTATCGGAACGTATAGCCTAGATATAATCGAGGATAATGAATATTGATACTGAACCAGACAATCCAGTGATGCGCATCGCGAGTATCGATCATCGGGAGACGCAATAACATACATCAATTGGTCAGTTAGCCTGACCACCCGGGTTAGAACTGGTCTTCAGCAACCCATGCTTGTCGTAGGAAGCCACAATAACGGGATTGAGTGGCCAGGCTCGCTGACTTGGTTGACACATGTCATCGTATCGAAATTGCGTAGATCGACTCTCATGCCGTTGGTCACTTGATTGCCTGTTCCAGATTATTTACAGACCGCCGCTATGAGGCTGTAATATTGCTGAGTGCGGCACAACAAACATCCAACCAACTTACCGACAGATCATCCGATCCCCCAAGTTGTTTCTTATGACACGTGTGGGTTGACTAGTTCTAATCCGAGTCTTCACGGATGTGACAAAAAGCTTTACGTGCACTTACAAACAACGTTGCGTTGATGCTGGAGCCTCCGTTAGCCATGGTGAGTTGTGCGACGTAGTGGCCGTCAGAGGCAGGGGTGTAACTGTGGATGAGTGCCCGAGTTCCAGCCGTCAAAGCGGGAACATTAACTGTAACTGGAGGAGATCCATCCCCCCTGTCTATAGTCACCTGGGCATTAGTCGGCATTGGATTGGTAGCGCATTCTACGTAGAATTCAATTTGATCTGAAATGCCAAATGTAGAATATAACTTTTTTTTATCAGCGACGGAGGTAACGTAGCGGATTCCTATAATGTACTGATATTGAAAATCGACCCGAGGTCATCGGGTCAAGGCTGTCATCGCGACGCTTTATCTCCATACCCAGGGGCGGTGGGGTAGCCTAGTGGTTAAAGCGTTCGCTCGTCACGCCGAAGACACGGGTTCGATTCCCAATATGGGTACACTGTGTGAAGCCCATTTCTGGTGTCCTGGAATTCGTGATGTTGCTGGAATATTGCTAAAAGCGGCGTAAATGAATGACTCAGTCATTAATTCTGTGATTGAGTGAATTGGATTTTAAGCGCTTTTAGCAATATTCCAGCAATGTCACGGCGGGGGACAACATGAATGGGCTTCACACACTACCCATGTAGGGAATCGAACTCTGGCTTGACAGGCGTGATTGGCGAACGCTTTCAACGTTTGTTTACTGAGAGTATGCAGCAAGAAAACATGTACTAAAGGAACTATAGTCTGTTTGCAGTGAAAACGTACCGATGAATTTCACTTTAAACTAAAACGTAAATCAAATAAAGTGAAATCAGAAGTGCGAATCCTCATGATTTTACCTTGCCAATTTAGCATTTAAATCTCAGAATTTATTGGTTTGTATTTCAAGGGGTATGTACATTAAATGAAACACCGAGAACAAGTAGGGTTGGTCTAAGTTAATGCTCATCACGTACTGTACGTGCATTTGTATCACTGTTCCAATTACTGCGTTTACTCCCTTGTAATACAAACCAATAATAGCGATTTGAATCTATGATCGTCTGTTAAACAACATTTATCCTAAGTTAAGTAAAATTCTGAAATTTAACTGTTTAATCGGCAAGGTAAAATTATGAGGATTCGCAATCTTAATTTCACTTTTTTTTATTTACTATTTTGTTTAAAGTGAAATTCATCGTTACGTTTTCACTGCAAACAGACTATACATTCGACTGTATAGTCGGGTTGTACTACTTTCTGATGTATCCCCTACAATCTACTGTATAGACCGGTTGTACTACGTACTCGTGCAACACGCAATTGCGTAGATAGATGCTCATGCTGTTAATCACTGGATTGACTGGTCCAGACTCGATTATTTACAGACCGCCGCCACAAAGCTGGAATATTGCTGAGTGTGGAGTTAAACAAACAAACCAACAAACTTTGCGATTAAGATCTGAGTAATCCGAAAGATTGGGAATTCGAACCAAGCATACCTGGACTGTCCTTTAGCCTGCGTTAATTCCCCATTAATTAGCATAACGGCTAAAGTCATAACGTCTGTCTGAGGTAGGCTGGCTCCTTGACAGGTGATGCCAAAGACCTTTACAAATGGTACTTGTTGTTACTCTGACTTCCAGGCGTTAAACAACATACCAACCAACAAACCAATCCCTCCATCCCCTCCCTCCCCTCAAACCGACACCTCACTCCTTGACTTAGTATCCTTGGACGGACCAAGACCGCCTCCGTGGTGTAGTGGTTAGAGCGTATGCCCGGAGAGCGGAAGGTCGCGGGCTCGATCCCCGACCGCGTCATACCAAAAGACGTTAAAATATGGTACTTGTTGGTCCCTGCCTGGCGCTCGGCATTAATGGGTACATCAAGGACTGGTAGACTCGGAGTCAGTATAATGTGTCTGAGTGGGGTATTCATGCTTCACTGCGGTATGGTATCTCAGTGGGCTAGCAGTATAAAACCAGCTTCAGTCTGGGCTAGTACAAGCAGCCGCACATACACATACACACACATGCACGTCGTCATGTGAGCGAAATATTCTCAAGTACGACGTTAAACCCAATTTCAGCTCACCTCACCTTGGACGGACCAAGCGAGTGGAGAGCCTGAACTGCCAGACAATGTGAAACGGCCATTATACAAAGGTAGGTAACTGTTGTAGGATTTACTAAAGCCCTGTTAGCAGTTACGACAAAGGCATTCGTACTTACTGGGATGGGTGACAGGGTAGTTTGTAGACAGAACACAGTCATTAGTGACAGGTTGATCCACTTCTATCTGGTATGTTGCTGTCTCAAACTGAAGCGGAGTCGTGATGTCGCACGTGATGGTCTTTGTTCCTAACGTAGCGTACGTCACCTGACGTACGTCTTCACCGTTCTGTCCCGAACCTGGAAGTAAAGGTTTGCTCTCATGTTTGGATTATGGGGATGGTGCGTTCAAGGCTCATGTCATGACACATTTTACGTGTCACGCGTTGTTCATTCAGGAATTAAATGAGTGAGAGAGTGAGTGAGTGCGTTTAGTTTCACATGAAGATCCGGGTTAGAATTGATCTTCAGTAACCCATGCTTGTCGTAAGAGACGTCTAACGGGATCTGGTGGTCGGGCTCGCTGACTTGGTTGACAAATGTCACCGTATCCCAATTGCGTAGATCGATGCTCATACTGTTGAAAATGGGTTGTCTGGTCCAGACTCAATTATTTACAGACCGCCGCCAAATAGCAGGAATATTGCTGAGTGCGGCGTAAAACGAGACTCACTCTAACTTTATAATATATGGCATTACTTTCATTGTCGTTTTTATCGAAATGTCCAAAGGTACCAATAAATGTTACCTGTCCGTTGCCAGGTTTGTGCTCCACTACCGTCGCCAAAGTCGCAGGAGATGTTTGCAAACAGACCGCTTGGACCACGGTACATGATGACCTTGATGTTTGCTGCCTGACTTATTATAGCTCCAGGTGGATCTGCTGTGACGACCAGGTCCTCCACGGGATCAATCACGCACATCTGGTGGCCTGTGAAGTTCTTGCCACTTACTTCATTCCAGATTTTAGCCTGAATAGCATAACAATCGGGGTCCCTGTAACTGTGGGTATAGTTGTAATCCATTTGAAGCGGCATTGTCTCGAGGCCAAGGTTGTCGCCAAAGTCGAATTCCGCTTGAGCCTCATTCGGCGTCCCTCCAGCAGTTTCAAAGGCGAAAGCTCCAATGCCAGGAGGAGCGAAGAATATGGTTTCTCTGTGGACCAGCTCGACGTCAACGACGCTCTGTATGACGAGAACTGAGTGGTATTGACTTTCAGAACGGTCGTTATTTGCGCAAGTGATGCTCACATTATGTAGCTTGCCTATGGTGAAAGAATGGGTACGAGTTTCAACAGGGTTGGCGCGGATAGCCCAGTCAGCGGGTCCTTCATCGTGGGTAACCGCTGGGGTACCGTCATCGAAGTCCCATGTACATGCAACGTTTGATCCTTCTGTCATCTGCACGTTGCAATTTACAGGCATATTGGTGCCGGTCTTCGCAGTGTCACAGCTGCTTGATACGTCCCTCATTGCAGTTTCTATGATGAATTTTTCGGTGATGTTTCTGGAACCAAGCATGTTGGACACTATCAGAACCAGGGGATATTCGTTCGCCGGCTTCCCAGGAAGGACCGCCGTCTGCCATTTCTTACTGACAATATCTCCAGACTCAAAAGGAATGGTGTTGCCATCAAATTCCAAATTAAACACGCAGTCTGATCCTTGAGTCAATGTCCATTCGATTCTGAAGTTTACTAATTTCTCAGCTCCAGTTCTGACCAACGCCAACCCAAGACACTCTTCCTGCACTGCTACAATAAAGACGAAGACGATAGAACTAACGTGGTTTGAGCAATTAGCAGTTACTGTATAGTTGTTACCAATGCTGTAGACGTGATTGACGATGTCGTTGTTACCGTAGTCGGCCTCCTGAGTGGTATTGGAAGTGGAGTCGCCGAAGTCCCATTCGATAGTGTAATCCGACCCCCCTGTCAACTGGATCGTGAAAGGGCAACTGGTGAGGGTCACGCAGGGGCTGTACGAGACTGTGAAGTCAGTAATTCTGTCCTCAACGAGGACTGTTGTGACGTTGGATTTACTGGTCAGTTGATTCCAGGATATGGCCGAGACATTGTATTCGCCCTTTGATGTGAACGTGTGATTGTAGTGGTCAGTTGTGGTGTCGTTAATTGTGGATCCATCACCAAAGTCCCAGTTGCGTTTTACGTTGGTTCCTAATGGAAACAAAGGTTGGTTTCAACATCATTCACTCAAAATTAAGAAAGCAACTTTTGTCAGCACGGAAGAAATCATAATAGTAGGCTGTCATTGTCTTTTCGTAATCAGATGTAATTCGAACGTATTTGTTATCATTCATATGTTAGTTCATTACAAAATGTGCTATAACTATATAAGCTGAATATTTTTCTAAAGTCGATTTTCAGAAATGTTTCGTGTTAAACCATGATTTTTGTCACTTGTGTTAAATGTTTTAAAAGTAACAGCCTGGGTATGTTATTACGCCGCTTTTAGCAATATTCCAGCACTATCACGGCGGAGGTCAACAGAAATGGCCTTCACACATTGCACCCATGTTTGGAATCGAACCCGGTCTTCGGAGTGACGAGCGAACCCTTTAACCACTAGACTACCCCATTGCCCCTGAAAGTAACAGAAGAAACCCTTACCTGTGTGTGGCAGGATGTTTAGCGTTCCCTGCTCATTTGTAACCCAATACATGGCAGCTTCAATGACAGTAGCATTAATGCCTTGTAAGACTTCGATCTCGGTGATGTTCATTTCGGAGAAGGGAATGTCAATGTTACTGACGTTGGTGGTCAGCGAGTATGTACCGGCGGTGGTGAAGGTGTAGGTGAGGTACACCTTGGTCTGACTTGAGTAAATGGCTCTGAGATGATGGCGGGTATTGGACATCGAGGTTCCAGCTGCTTTTGCAAAATTGGTTGTGGAGGCCGGATAGCTTCTGTCACATTCTGTTTGATTGTAGGACACTGTCAATGCAGCAGATCCTGCTGATTTTCTGTAGGCGATGATATCCCCAGGATAGACGTGGGTGTACTCTTGAGAGTCGATGACTTGATAGCCGGTGGCTGTAAGCGTGAGGGTGACTGTCTGACGGATCGTGTAGTCAGATAGGGGGGCGGCACAGGGGTGTCTGTCGAGAGGGGTACATCCTGTGGAGCAGGATTGAGCCCTGGGGCAGAAGATGTCGGGGTTGGTGCAAGTCAATCCAGTACACGCTCCACATGCATTAGACTCATAGCAATAGTCAGCGCATCCAGGTTTTAGGATCTATAAATGCAATAAAATAAATGAATGATAAAAATCAGGATCAGCAGGAAAAGTTCTGAAACGAATATCTTTACATCCAGTAACAGTACTGACAGAACGCAACTGGGCACACAGTAACATAGGTTTGACAATGGTTAGATCCGCCGTTGTTGGCTTAAATACAAGAATCACCCTGACAATGACCCTTGGTTACCCCTGCCCTTGATTTAATCAAAGTGGTATTCATCTCGCATCACGTCATCAAACATCCTACATAACTTCATCAAACAACCCGCACCACTCCATCAAGCATCATGCATTATTTAATCAAACACCCCGTATCACTCCATCAAACATCCTACATCGCCCCATCAAACATAATGCATCACTTCATCAAACATCCTACATCACTTATAGTCACATGACTTATCCCACAGGGTACCCATTTTCTGCTTGGTGAACAGAAGCAATGTTGAACAAACTCGCTTGCCTAAGGTGAGACCACATGCATCACATGTGCTTCGTTGTGGGGCAGGACTGAAGTCCTAGAAAATTCTCAGGAGTCAAGATGCCAAACACGGTTACCCATCCAAGGACTCTCCGCGCCCAACGTTGCTTAACTTCAACAGATTTGTTTGTGTCTTGAGCTCTATGCACAGGACTACAAACCACCAGACCAGATCGTTGTTCATAATATCAATCACTGGTCACGTACCAAGAGCGTTAGTGTCCCAGTCGTCTCTGCCCAGAGCTCCCACTGCGTGACCACGCCCTCGTACTTAAACTCAGAGGCGTACATCATGTAGTCGTTGTCGCTGGTGGTGGCCTCTTGAAGATCGGACGTCGACGGCACGCAACAACCAGCGCCATCCACAATCGGATCTGTCAACGACAACATACCGGTAATAAATGTTTATTTAATATTAAAATAACAGCGAAATCCTCCCAAAAGCATATCTCAAAAGGTTGATATATACTAGGCACATAAAGAAACTGTGCATACAAAAATTTAAAATCTAAATTTATCAAACCTGTGTAGACACATAAGGATTTAAACTCAGAGATGAATGACATGTATCCAACATGCATGTACGTCCCACGTTCCGTGACGTCAGTGGGTTCGTCCTTGAGACGTGTAATACGTTGTTGCACGTGCATTCCGGGAAAGAGAAACAGAGCAAATGAATGCCACACAATACTGTCACTTTGGAAAGCTCAACCCCTGCCCTTGCGATCGTTCAAAAAATTAAACGGCTATTGGAACGCATAGCATGCCAAGGCTCACGTCTGCACAACGTCATGAGGCCATTGGGATGGTACGTCGGGGAATGTCTCAACGACAAGTGGCTGCACATTTCCACTGCCACCGGAACACCATTTCTGCACTGGTGAGACGCTACCAGAACACAAATGACGTCATCGATCGGCCACGTTCTGGACGTCCACGTGTAACAACGCCAAGACAGGACAGATGGATAAGGGTGACCCATCTTCGCCACAGGTTTCAGACTGCAGTGATGACTGCCCGAACCATCCCGGGACTTCGCCGTATCCACCCCTAACACAGTTTGACAACGTTTACGTCATCACGAGATCAGACCACGACGTCCCGCCATACGGCCTATCCTGACACAACGTCATCGACAAGCTCGCCGAATGTGGTGCCGAAATCATGTCCGCAGACCCTTGTTTTGGTGGAGAAATGTTGTTTTTACAGATGAGTCCAGGTTTAACATTTCCCATAGTGATGGACGTCAACGTGCCTATAGACGCGTGGGTGAACGTTATGCACAGGCCTGTGTCTTGGAGAGGAATCGCTTTGGTGGTGGTTCCGTGATGATTTGGGGTGGAATAACAGCACGCCAATGAACTCCTTTGGTGATTGTTCAGGGCATTTTAACTGGTGTGGGCTACAGGGATCAGATTCTTCGACCTGTGGCAATTCCTTTTCTGCAACGTCATGGCCCTGGGTTAACAACATTCCAACAGGACAATGCCCGCCCTCATACGGCGAGGGTTGCTATGGATTTCTTGCAACACCACAACGTTGACTTACTGCCTTGGCCTCCAAATTCACCGGATCTCTCCCCGATAGAGCATGTTTTGGACGAGATGGATCGACGTCTACGCCGTCTTCCTCATCCGCCAGATAACGTCCTTGACCTTGCAACAGAACTTGAGAGAATCTGGCGTGACATCCCACAAGCCTTCCTTGCACGTTTGATAGGCTCTATTCGTCGTCGATGCACTGCTGTTCTCAGTGCCGATGGTGGACATACCCATTGTTGAGCTTGTGACATGGTCGTTTGACCCCTGTCCCGCTTTTGGACTCGTGACGTCATTGTGATTGACTTTTCAATTGAAATTCTCCCGACTTCTTATGGTCTCATGATCCCTCCATTAAAGTTTATATGTACCTTTGACATTGTTATCGTACTTATCAACTGGGATAGTATTTTGACAATGCACAGTTTCTTTATGTGGCTAGTATATGAGCATACATTTTTGTTAGATACTTTTCTTACGTACTCTCTATGAAGAGATGCTCTCAGATTTTGACAATTTGAAAATCCAAGTTATTAAAGCTTATTATTGTCTCAGTCTTCAAAAATACTATCATCTACGTAGAAGATTCCAAATGTAAATGATACGTAGATCTATGAAGATCATGGTTATATCTGTCATGTTCTTGGGTTTTCAAAGTGTCAAATCTAAATCGCGATAGGTTTTCGACGTTAAGCTCAGGCCACTTATCATAAACTGCAGTCAACTTTTCTTTCAAGACGCTACAGGGATAGCTATATAGGAATGTATTCGGACTGATTAAGTAGATTCATGATCAATTAAGTTATTATTCCTTTGCTCAGATTTCTACTTCTAGCGTCTCGTCACGCCGAAAAACCCTGGTTCGATTCCCCGCGTGGGCACAATATGTGAAGCCAGTATGTCTGATATCAAGACGGCAGTATGTCTGATATAAAAACAACAGTATATCTGATATAAAGACAGCAATATGTTTGGTGTCCCCCGCCGTGATATTGCTGGAATATTGCTAAAAGCGGCGTAAGAACTAAACTTATTCACTGTGATTTCTACTGTTATGTGTTTGTCCTCTTTACCTGCGACGTCAATGGTCCTTTCTGTGCTGTCCACGGTGTCCGTCAAACGTAAATGAGTCCCCTCAGTGATGGTAGCAACACACTTGTCCTCTTCGTCGGTGACGAACAAGGGACACTCGACGGTGATGTTCTTGACGGGCGCTTGTACGACTAAACCTGCCACGTTGGACTTCGGCTGTAAAACACCATAGCAATATGTCTCATATAAAGACAGTAGTATGTCTGATATAAAGACAACAGTATGTCTGACATATAAGGACAACAGTATGTCTGATATAAAAACAGCAATATGTCTCAGTTAAAGACAGGAGGATGTCTGATATAAAGACAGGAGTATGTTTGATATAAAGGCAGCAATATGTCTGATATAAAGACATCAGTATGTCTGATATAAACAGCAATTTGTCTCATTTAAAGATTGAAATCAATGGATCTATATATATCCTAAACACAACACTATCACTAAAACAACACTAGAACAACACTAAAACAGCACTATCCTTACCCTATAATGTTGACATCTTTGGTAAAAAACTTTGATTGTTGTATGTTACAGATAGAACTGATTACTTTATATTAATAGACCACATGCCACCTTGGGATATATTGTAGTGAGTGAGTGAGTGAGTTTAGTTTTACGCCGCTTTAGCAATATTCCAGCAATATCTCGGCGGTGGGGGACACCAGAAATCGGCTTTACACATTGTACACATATGGGGAATCGAACCCGGGTCTTCGGCGTGACGAGCGAACGCTTTAACCATTAGGTTACATGTACCCCACCGCCCTGGATATAGTGTAGGTAACTGACAATTGTATATAACGTATTTGAGAGGCATTTAGTCCTAATCCAGATTTGTACTGTACAGGCATCTCCTCACGCTTGTAAATATGCTTCTCTATCCTTTAATTCTGTTCATCACATGTTAGACTCTACACCGACACGTCGCTTTCAATGTGAAGAAGTTGTTCATCCATATATTGTCATCCTTCCGACAATTGTATATCTCGAGATGTTTTCTCTAGTACTGTTCCAAGGTTGATGATACTTATCAATTGCAACTTACTCAAACAATTTAAGAAAGGAAATTTATCGCCAACACACTGGGCAATCCATTTGAAAGGAATAAAAAGCTTTCTGCAGATGCATATCTTCGATGTCCACAGTTCCATGTCATGGTAGATAGCGTATCATAGACTTTCTTGGGGCGGAGGGGTAGCCTAGTGGTTAAAGCGTTCGATCCGGGTTCGATTCCCCACAAGGGTACAATGTGTGAAGCCCATTTCTGGAGTCCCCTGCCGTGATGTGGCTGGAATATTGCTAAAAGTGGCGTTAACCCATACTCACTCACTCACTCACTCACTCACTCACTCACTCACTCACTCACTCACTCACTCACTCACTCACTCACTCACTCACTCACTCACTCACTCACTCACTCACTCACTCACTCTATCAATCAATCACTGAATAAATAAACAGATTTGGAATTGGTCGAATCGGGGCCTTTCTATTTCCGAAAGGGCTTTGCGGAGGGGAAATAACATATTTTAGGGGCTGTTAGACAGACTAAAAAAATACAGACTCACCACAATAGCCCCAGCAGTGTCCATAGCGGTAACCATTGCGTCATGCTGACCAGGAATCGTATACGTCTTCGTCAACATACCCGTAGCGTTGTTTTTCATGTCACCATTACCGTCATCGTAGTTCATCTGGTACGTCAAGATCCCACCAGCGTCGACGTCGATGGAAAACGCCACCGGGTCTCCTGTCTTCGCGAATTGTGGAGCGACGCTCAGATCCACCTTCTTGATTGGTTGGGCAGACTCGTACACACTGAGGTAGTTCTCACCCCCGCACATTTGAGACCCGTCCCCGGTACATGGGGTGGAACAGCTGGCGGCGCCGGTAGCATAGGTAGCATTGGGCGCCTTGTCACCGCAAAAACAGAACCGACCTGATATCAAACCTGCGTATATTGCTGTGTAGGCGCCACACAAGTTGGTACACACTTCTACGGTGAGGCCGTTTGGGTCATAGTAACCGGGGCTGAAGGGGAGATGGCGGTGTCTGATGTCTTCAAGGAAACAGCCATGGGGGGAACCTGCCGTGGAGAATATGCATGACATTGTCAATATTATAAAGACAGATATAAAGAAAACACACGCTTGGTCTTATGGTATTATTTTCAAAAATACATAATTTGAAAGTGTTTTGATTATGACCTGACAGTAACATATACTGTGTACGTGTTGTCAGCCATCTAACCCACTCAGCCAACTCAGGTCTCTGGGTGGGTTAGACCGCTGACTCAATCCTCGAAAAGTATTAAAATCTGTACTTTGCTGAGAAAGTGTAAACCTAAATTAAAACATATGTTAAAATAGTTATAAAATTAATCCTTAAGCACCAGATGTGTACTTTTTGTACGTCAGTTTATGTCATGATGTTGTCAGATGTAACTTAAAATCAAATGCCAAAGAGTTTTGATCATCTCTGTGCTACAACTGTTTTATTGAACAGACAAGTCAACAACAACTCATGCTTTCTGAATAGTCTGAAATGGGAAATGTTTGGAGATATTCTATTAGCTGGGGTAACGAGAACTTAACTCTAAGACTATCGTAGCCTTTACATTCAGAAAGGCTAACGACAGTCACAGTGCACCTTAATCAAACAGGTTTGGTATGAGTGTGGAATATTCGTATCCCCCTAGATTCCATTTATTAACTTACACTATAAAATATTTATACAGTTCCTCATTGTTTCCCAGAAGTTTAAAAGCGGCGGTGATACAAATGAGCCTCTCTCTCTCTCTCTCTCTCTCTCTCTCTCTCTCTCTCTCTCTCTCTCTCTCTCTCTCTCTCTCTCTCTCTCTCTCTCTCTCTCTCTCTCTCTCTCTCTCTCTCTCTCTCTCTCTCTCTCTCTCTCTCTCTCTCTCTCTCTCTCTCTCTCTCTCTCTCTCTCTCTCTCTCTCTCTCTCTCTCTCTCTCTCTCTCTCTCTCTCTCTCTCTCTCAGTACACATCCAGTTTTGACAGTTTTGTCAAAGTCAACCGGAGACCCATGAAATGCTGCCAGTTTTCTTTTGTTTGCTATATTGCTATGTCGAACTGACTTAATTCTGAAGACAATGATTGGAAGATACAAATAAAAAAGTTCGTCAACATTTCATAACTTCTTTAAGTGTCGTGCCTTTTGGAGTACAAATAATGAGTCCAGGATTACAGATTCTAATATTCAAATATGAATTCGAAGAAGCTCAGTTGGATAGAAAGGACGTTGAAATATCCAGCGTCAAATTTACTGATGGGATGAATTCTTCGAAAGAGGTATTTCTGAACGGAAATAAAATGGGAACCCAATATTTACTCGTCACATCTGACGCACAATGGATTGAACGGGTAAAAACCAGTATTCCTTTGTTCTTGCACTAAACTGTTTACGTATATAGAAATTCTATAACAAAAACGTTCGTGTTTTTGTTGAACACTCATATGAACTTATATTGCTAAAAAAAATTCATTTTGAATTAGGTGAGTCTTTTCTATTAGAAACTTTGCTGAATGCTAATTTAGTTAGAGAAAAAAACTTTGGGGTGTGTCTTTCTGAATGAATTATATAAAACACTTTACCCTGAAACTATCTTAGAATTTACTCGATATTCTCTCTACGTTGATTGTCTTGTCTGGGATTCCGTTACGTGTGATTGGAACTGGCGCTTACGATCTGTACAATTGGGAAACGAGAACAACGCTTGACCACCCGATCCCGTTAGTTGTCTCTAACGACAAGCCTGGTCAACTGAAGACCCGAATCTTTACGGGTTTACATAGTATGTATCATCGTACGTGAACGCCTATCTTGAAGTCAACCACCTATATGCCTAGCCCAGACTCGGCCATTTACAGGATGCCTTGATATCATTGGAATCCTTTGCCTGAAGCAATATCGGCTCTATGGCGTGATAGATTGATTATCATTCCTTAGTGTATTATTATCGATCGAAGCGGTCGTATAATATGGACTCACCTGTCCTCGTTTTACAGCTTACCATCGCATTGGTGTGTTACCGCGAATCGTATGCGGGATTACAGCGGTATGATTGCGGAATTAAAGTGATATATTTTAAGGATGACCGCGGTATGTTTGCGGAACGAGCGCGGTATATTATATTACAGATTATGTTTGCGGAATTATCGTGATATTGATTCAGGATTATCGCGTCATATTGGCGAAACTGTCGCGGTATATACACGGAAGGAATAGAATCTTTACGGTATTACGACGGTGTGTAGGTGAGGTGAGGTGAAATTGGGTTTAACGTCGTGCTTGAGAATATTTCGCTCATATGACGACGTGCATGCGTGTGTATGTGTATGTGCGGCTGCTTGTACGAGCCCAGACTGAACCTGGTTTTATAGTGCTAGCCCACTGAGATACCATGCCGCAGTGAAGCATGAATACCCCACTCAGACACATTATACTGACTCCGAGCCAACCAGTCCTTGTTGTACCCATTAATGCCGAGCGCCAGGCAGGGACCAACAAGTACCATATTTTAAGGTGTTTTGGTATGACGCGGTCGGGGATCGAACCCGCGACCTTCCGCTCTCCGGGCGGACGCTCTAACCACTACACCACGGAGACGGTCGACGGTGTGTATGAGGAATCACTACGGTACTATTTCTTTGGCAAGTTCAAGATCTACTTTGTACATACAAAGACAAACTTGAAAATCTATCTAGATGTCCTACGTTAAAGTTTCCAATACATTCATCCATTGTTCTGATCTGCACTGATTTACGGGTCAAACCGTTTGAATGACCCTCGTGTGTGTTCTTGAAGTCTTTCTGAACACCGCACTGATTGTATGATATATTCCGTTGTGTTCAGATCCAATAAACATCGATACACTGGTTATGGATCTAAGCGTTCTATTATTCCTTCCACGCAACCGTTGCTGTCCACAACCTTTCACAGAAGAGCTTGGAGCAACTAAATAGGATATAACACTAAGTACCGATGTTGTTCTTCATCGTACACGCTGCCGTGTGAAGTCAAACAAAACGACAACCAGTTAAACAGGTTTGAAACGATCTATACGTGTGTAGCCAAGGGAAAAGGAGGACGGATTTCCAGGCTGTAAATAATTTTTATCGATTCCCATAGAGTCAGTAAAACGTTGAACGTAAGTGAATGTGTTGATGACGACAGATCAATCAGCGTCTGATGTTGCCATGGAGACACGACACAAGCAGGGAGATCGATATTGATCCATAATTCTATCTATAAACAATTCTCGTATGCAAGTCAAGGCTTTGCACGTTTTATAAAATTGTATTGATTTGTTAGTTTACTAAGGTCTGTGTAAACAAAACAGGACTGTGAAATATACCACGAATAAAGGGTCGGGTGACAGATCGATTATCAAATAACATGCTTGTTGCCACGAACTGTATGGAAGTTTCCAAAGCCGTTGAACGAATCTGTGATGTTTCAAGAGGTTTCAGATTTGTTGCAATATGATGACTTCCAAAGGGAATTAACAAACCGTGCCAAAGTAAAGTATCGCGGGCTTATTTCGTCTCTTTCGAACAGGAAACCCAAAGGCGGGTCGTGTCACTTATAGTTTCTTAAGTGAGTGAGTAAGTGAAGTTTTACGCCGCACCAAACAGTATTTACATAAAAGTATATTTACTCATGCTTTACTCATATTATGACTATAGAGATGAACATCGACATGTTATACGTTTATGTATGGTTATTCATACAGTAGATTTTCATATAGTATCATATTGTTTCACTAACTCTTTTGCAAACGGAAGCGACAAAACCCTTGCCACATTCATAAGAAAACGCTGCTAAAAGCAGAGTCGATTGTACAATTGTGACTATATCATGAGCAGATATTTGTTTCATTAGCATTACATCTGTATGATATTGTTTGTAAACAAATCGAGTCGGGGCCAGACAATCCAGTGATTGTCACCATGCGATACGATGACAGAGCATGTGTTTATGACAAGTCAGGTTTTACAAAAAAGATGATTATAATAACTTTTTGATTGAAAAACAATAGGGATGCAGATGATGATTTATCCTATTAACCAATGAACACGGGTATAGACAGGGGCGGATACAGCTTTTTGAGAAAGGAAGGGTGCACACTATTGAGAAAGGTGGGGTGCACACTTCATTTTCACGAGAGTTTCAATGGTCATTTAATAAAATTTCAGGACAAAAGTGGGCTGCGCACCCCTGCACACCCCCTCTGGATCCGCCTATGATAGAGTTGACAAATGAGGGACAATGTTTGTAGAAAATCGAAAGTAAAAGCATCCTTGCAACGGAGAAGGGACAGAACTCTGTCAGAGGTACTTTGCTATAAGTAGCCATAGTCGGTGCCCTGTGTTTCCACATTGGACATACAAGCCCTGTATTTAATTATGGAAATAGTGTCGACCCTGGGCACGAACATCGGAGTCCAGTAGCTAGTAACTGAATATAGTGTTCCGCCACTTTTAGCAATGTTCTAGGAATATTACGTTGCACTCTCGGGGAGTATCGAACCCGGTCTGTGTTGTTACGAACGACCATTTTAGCTCTAAGCTAACCTACGGCTCCACCAGCAATACTGACCCACCTTCCAGGGACCACGAAAGTCAGGACCGGCGGCGTTAGCGAAATGGTGAAAAGCCGGATAGAAGCAAATATAGACATTGTAGTAATTGTGCAGAAAAATAACTAAATATTGCAACAGCATTACGTTTGTGAAGACCATTTTGTAAGGGGTTTCAGATTTCTTTGGTCATTTTTCAGGGTAAAACGTATGTAATAAATTGTCCTTGGCGACATTTGTGGTCAGAATATCTTTATATACAAGAGGCAGTCCAGGAGGTGTTCATAGAATTTAGTAAGGATATTGGATCTAAAGTTATTGTATTTTACTCTAGCAACCTATTTCCTGGCATCATAAACAAAGAAATACTTTTCAAAAAGAACATTCCAGATAATAGAGAAAACAATGATTTAGTCAATGTTTTAAAATCTGTTTCACAAGTAATTGTTATTCTGAACAAAATGGAAAATCAATGTGTGTTGTC